TTTCCTGTCAATCATGATGTTTTAATATTCAACTAATTTAAGTATACCTCACAGTATGTATACATTTCTGCATTATTGTTTGAACAAATTCATATTTTCACTTTTAAGAGTGTGTCTATATGTCAATTTCACATAAAAATTTGAATGAATTATGAAAATACATATTTATGAAATTATTTACTGCTAAATTTATTTATAACTGCTCACTGGGATATTATGATACTGTATAGAGATTGAAAAATATATTTATATAGTTTTTCATTTTATTTTTGATTCAAAAACCCAGAATTATAACATAAACAAGCAGCCTATCAGCTGAGATAGATCCACTGTTAGCAATGAACATTTCAATTAAAGAACTAAAGATATCATTAGAAAATGAACAAATCTGGGAGAGGTCTATCTGAGGTATCTACATGTATAACATCAAAGCAATCAGACTTGCGGTTTTTAACAAGAAGTCGAAAATATAACTTTTTACCAAAAATAACAAAAATATTCATCAAAATTAGAGAATTGAAGATATCATCACGAAATGAACAAATCTGAGGTCTGCCTAAGGTACATATACACCAAGTATCAAAGCAATAACAATTATAGTTTTCAAGAAGTAGTCAAATAAGTAAAAAGTTGACATCGACGACAGACAGTCCTCATATGATAAGCTCAGCAAAGTTGACAGCGGAGCTAAAAACTTTAAAAAAATTTATATCCAATTCTAATATTTAGTTTGTACAGGAAAATCTGATCTTTACATGAATCATATGTATTACAGTGCATTTCATAAAGGTGTGAATTTATTTTCTAAACAAAATAGCAATATTGATGGGTCAAATATAACTTTTTGTAATGGAAAGCTGATATAAGTATTACAATACTGCTGAATGGGTTGATTTTTAATTCACAGTAAGATTTTGAGCCAATCACAGTTGTATATTTTAATTTGAATAAAAACTGAAAGCGAGTATTTATAAATATTTATAAATGTACAATGTATTTATAAACTAAGGTACGGGTTACTGAAATTCACTGTACTTAAGGTTCATAATTTTACAGTTACATGAGAAGTATGGTATTAGTTTTATGACTAGGTTCACTTTAACCACATGTTATTCAGATTAGTAGTTACTTTTTGCCCACTTGAACAGGCATCCACGGTTCTTTTTGCTTTTGCACTTTGAGAATGTACGTTTCAAGACGTGGACAACTATTCAGGATGGTTTCCACTGTGACTTTTTCTAGTATGCAATAACAGTGAAGCAATCTCAAATTAGGCGAACTCGCAGCGAGCTTAATCAATGCCTGATTTAATTCAACTGATGGTATGCATTTTACTACAACTTCCTCTAAAGTTGAACTGTAGTTTGCAGCAGCCTGGGAGACTTCATTATGCAATACTGTATATGTATCAAGTCGTAAAACCTTAATTGGTATGTGTGGTTGCAGGATTGCTTGGATCATGTGCAATGGGCAAGTAGGATCAACAGCTATATGCACTTTTAGATTTGGATTTCGCTTTGTCAGCGTTTCCCATGCACTATCCGGGATATCGATATCGTACTTCCATTCTCGCCACATAACAGAAAGTTTTTGCAGTGAAGCACGTCCTACCTCCGCTAACTCCAAGAGGACTTCCTCAGAGATACTGCAGTAGAAGAGACCGAGCTCTCTAAGTTTAGTACACTTCTTCACTACATTCAATGTGCAATGGGGTTCGACGGTACATGTACGGGTATTATTAAGAATGTTTAGCACTTCTAAATCTGGGTGATTATCGGCAAGAAGGTTTAACAGATCATCCATATAGACAATAGAGATTCCACTCAAGTCAACTTCTTTGAGCAGGCTGCAGTTTGGGTCAGGAGATCCAAACAAATCGGCCAAAGCATTGATGAAATCTGAACTGCCTCTGATAAACAAAATTTTTTGACCTATGAAATTCAGCTTAATGTTCTGAAGTTTCCTCTTCTTACAACGAGCAAGTCTAGTAATAACTTCACAGGCACAGTCACGGTTTTTTTTCTTATTTTCCTGAACTTCAATCACCACACTCTTCAGCACATTTTCGTACTTGTCCAGACATCGTAACTTGACCTTGTCTTTCGGTTCCATAAAAGTGAACTTGAAATATTGCCATAAATTAGGATGATCAAAACAAGTTTGCCAAGACTTGCACACCAATGCCACTTTCCAACGCTCCACCAATGGAATATAGGAGAAGAACTTGGCCAGGATATGATCTGGGAGTCTGCTCCATGAAAAATTCTCCATTCTAATACAGCAGCTTGGGAACTATGTGTAATCCGGAGCTGTCAGTGGCAATACGTCCTGTGAATAATATGAATTTCAGTTCGTAATGTTTACCTTATAAGGGCATAGTTTTCACAATTTGTTTGCATGGATACAGGTACAAGTACCCCTTTTGGTGATCCTATCGACATGACAGGTAAACAAACCGAAACAAACAGTGTGACTCATGTAAGCGAAGTAAGACGGAAAAAATCGGCAAAATCATACATACCGACTGCGCAAAAATTCCTTTCCTATGATGTCACGACAGGTGATTGCAACATGAACTTTGACCTGTGTTCCCTAGCTATGTGTTATATATTAACAACATGATGCACTAACAAAGGATTTGAAATCACCATGAATGATGAGAACTTTTGATAAAAAAAAGCAGTATTTTGCAGAAAATCTAACATTTTACAATTTGACAGACATACCTTCTACATTTTGTATGTAGCATTACGTGCTATGCCTATAGTCAGGAGATTTTCCAAAGTTATCCTAACAACTATTACTGGGCAATGTTTATGACCTCGGTACAACATTACAACTTGAAGTGGGAAGTGATGAATTGCAGCTTATAAGATTTCAATCCATGACAACCAAATGTGTTCCAACAACACTGCTCGTTCATTCAAATCTATACCTAAATTACAGTAACTTTCACAAAACACGCTCGTAAAAACTATGTGGGGCTACACAGTGTCAACACCAAACAGTCCCCTTTGGTGTTCCAATGGCTTCTAGCTTAAACAAAGGATTAACAACTTTGAACTCTAGGTGGTGCTCACACAAAAAAACTTCAAAAACTGTAAACTCTAAATTGGCTACTTTGCATGTAATATGACTAATGTTCACGCAACTTTCGCGACTTTGCACATAGTTTTAAGGACTTTGCAAGTAACTTTCTTGACTTTGCATGCAGAATTGCACGTTACTAATTAATAATTCTGCAATACTGAAAGTTTCCTAAAAGTACAATATCAGTGAAATATATCATAATGTTTCTGCATTTAAAGTGGCAATAGCTGTGATTTTGAGCATTTTTGTTGATATATAAAATTTCCTGTACAAAGAAAGATCAACAAATCCCCCCCCCCAAAAAAAGAAGTGACATATTCCAAGTCTGTGCACATTGAATCCAGATCAAAACTCATGCATGCTCAGCACTGAGAGAGCCAATTTGATTGCGGAAAAATAAAATTAATATGTACCCCGGTAATAACACAAATCTCATGCACGTGTGACGCGTGGACCTCCTCCCTTTAATTATGGGTGAAAGTAATCCACTTCACTGCATTGATGTTGGTCTAGCCTGTAGTTGTCTGTTAATGTTTTTTAAAGCGGAGGGGCGTCACCTGTGGAATGGGAATTGAGTCCCAAGCAATGACTAATACCAGGTTTATTCTGGGCAGATGACATAGTCCTCAAAGCAAATAACACAGTTGAACTGCGAAAGATTATAGATATTGCATCAAAATTTGCAGAGCAATGGATAATAAGCTAATTAGGAAGAAACAATAAAACATATAAATACCGGTACACGTTATCTCAGAATCACTGAAAGATCATTCACATTTTATGAAAAGTTATTAAAAAGCATACAGTAAAATCGATCATAAATGAACATAACAGTTACAATACCCGGTAGGTTTGAATATGGTGACGTTCTGTGGCAAAATATAATAAGAAAGTTTAGTGAATAAAAACAAACAAGCATCTAGTATTAATTTGGCAAATTTCTCTGTAAAGTTAATAGGAATGTAGCATGCCAAGCAGAATTGGGAGATTTAGGATGGCAAGACATGTACTATATTTACGATAAATTGCAAATACAGTATTTGGACAGAATAAAAAAAAGATGAATAATATCAGGTGGACCAAAATAGTTTACTCTAAACTACATGAATCATCAGAACAAGGCTTGGAACTGGCCAAAGTATATCAACAATTTTCTAATTTTAAAATGATATGAATCACGTTCATGGCCTAAAAAGACTACAGAATGTTAGCTGGATTAAAAGTTTCTATAAAGTTAGCGAAGAAAAGGAAATAAAGCATTTTGGTGAAACTATCCAAGATATGAAATCCCTATTAAAAGCACTATGGCTGGATTAAACAGAATAAAAAAGAAAATTATATAATTTCCCTCCTCTTTAAGGTGAGGTGAAACGCAATAGACTTGGAAGGGAATAAAACCAGGTGGAAAATTATGGATGGAAAGGGCTATGTTTATCACTTTTTATTTCATTGCAAATCAACTAACCACTTGAGAAGTAAATTTTATTCAGCAATACAATAGTGGAAAATGGCAACTAACTAGTGTAGATAGATTTTTTTGGTGGAATTAATTTCAAATTTAATTTTCTAATCAATGATGCTTTAATGGGCAATCAATAAGGATTTGGGAAATAATACATCAAAAGAAATCTGTAACTTTTTCACTCGAATGCTTATAGTTTGTTTTTTCTTTTTCTTGTTGTTGACTTGTATGTTACTTTTTACGCCATTTCAAAGACTAATAAAATATTATTATTAATGCATACTAAAAACACAAAGGTTTTTTGGTAGATGCTTAGCATAACAATGTGATTAAACTTTGTAGTTTTTTCTTTTGAGGCTTAAAACACAAGATGGTTACTTTAAGTCATGATGTACTGCAGAAATGTCTCCCAGTATCTCACAGAAAATGATCGTGTGATATTGTTGAATCTCACTATATTCACCAGACGACGAAATGCCCAATTTAACGCCCTTTGGGGCTTAAGCACCAGATGTACACCATATGTTGGGCACTGCCAACAATTCAAACATTACAGAAAGACGACAAACTATTAGTTGAATGTACTGCGGAAATTTCTCACAGTATAATAATAATAATAATTCATTGATTAGTTTATATTTCATTTGTTCATTAGGTCATTTATATGATTCAATGTGCAACAGCAAACACTTTTTTTAATCAAACAAAAACAACCACAATTCTCTCCAAAAATGTCACAATATATTAAGAGAAATCATTCTGCTCTACCTCAATTAGACAATTCAAACAAATTTGATATCAAAACTCAGTTGCCAGTCACTTCATTCGATCAATATAATCAGATATTTTGGATACCTCTCCAAATTCAGCTCCAGTCACTTGACTCCATCAATCCAATCAGATACTTTGGATACTTCTTCAAATTTAGCTGCCAGTCACTTCATTCCATCAATCCAATCAGATAATTCTTTGGATTTATTGGATCTCACAGAATTTAATCCTAAAAAGTCTGGAACACACTAACTGTTGTCTATTAGAGACAAAATAACATGCCCAATCTTTCCCACATGTGGAGCTTCTATACCATTCATTTCAATACTATTTTTTCCCATACATTTTTCCTACCTGTGTTTATCTTCGCAGGTTGATGACTGAATAACGTATAAAGTACTTTATACATTTTCTTTTCCTTGCATTTCTCATCGAGTGTGTATCATTTATCCATCTCATTGCATATATATATGATTCAATGTAATAATATTCAAGTAATAAACAATTTATTTACATGCTTACCTTATCTACTTTTAATCACTACGGCAACATTCTTACTACAATTAACCTTCCATGTATGTAAGTATCCCATGTTTGTCATTTAAAAACATAGTTGAACTCTGGTGACCTTGCCCTTTGTTATATAATATAATTCCCTTTATCATAGTTTGTTTCAATATAAATATGCATTGTCATAATTAATTTTGAATACAAACAAGTTTTGGGGTTGAACCAACAGTGGGAAATCAGTCTACCGAATGTCCTTAAAAGATGTAAATATCTTACAAAAACATTGGTGCCTTATTTGTTTAATTATTTTAAGGGACATAATTTCCAGCTTTCTTCAAAGTAATTCAGATATTTTAGTATAAAAACAAATGTCTCATTGAAAAAAAAAGTGCTGCATTTAGATTCATAAAACATGCAAGATAACAGAAAATTTTAGCTGGCTTTTGTATTTTGTACAGGTGTCTGTCAAAAATTAATGATTCACTGAGACAAATATGAACTGCCTCATTGTGTGACTACTGTATTATATGAAAAGTAAAAAAACACACCCTTTATGAATAGCTATCATGTTGCAAGCTCTGCTTTGTAGGCAAATCAACTTAAATAGTTAAATAAATAGTCCAGTGGAGGGAGAAGTCAACAGTACTGTTGCCTCCTGAGAATCTACATCTTCAAACACTGCAATCTTTGAAGTGCGTTTTTAAACTAGTATTATAAAAACTCAGAATACATATATATATACAGAATACATATATTTTAGAATAATTTTCTTTTTAAAATGTGGATGAAATGTTTTGCTTTTAATGTATTTTTTATGTATTGTTTTTGATTTGATAACTTTGAACTAAACAGATTTTCTATTAGCTTCAGATCTTGATCAAAGTTAGGCACCCAGTTCATAGGAGTGCTTATATTGATTTTCTGACATCTTGTTTTCTGTAAAGATTTTATTGGTAGGTTTGCAAATGTGTATCAGACTGTGCAATCTCTCCATGAGTTGTTTTGAAACCCAGTATGGGATTCTGAGATACATTACCAGGAATTCTGTTCACTACAAGACTTATTTATATCTATTACCGGTAATTGTCACTAGAGGGCGCAGCTATCACAGCTGTGAACGTTCCAATCAAAACTGGAACGCCTTGCCATATTTATTAATAAAAAAATTCACATTTTCTCATCTAATATACATCTTTCATTGTTTACAGATTCAAGAAAATATTGGAGCATTCACAGAAGTGTTACTGATGAATTATTTTATATTGCAATTTCTTTAAATTTGTTGTATTGTAATTCATTATTAATATATATATATATATCGTATGCTTCTTTATTTCAATGCTGAGAATGAGGAATACATTTGTTTCATACTGTAATATCTTACCTATATTGGAAAATTGTCCTGGGGATTATTAATTTCAATAAACATTATTCAACTCTCTTTCTGCAACACTTCATTACTTATATTATGTCACTGAGCAGTATAACACAAGTGTGTAATGCAAAGCCCTTTCTATAAATGGTCAAATGTTTCTTGATCAAAGTGGGAAAATAGTTGGCAATATCAGAGCATGGGTCTCATTTAGGAACTTCTGCCAGAACAACTACACAAATCATAAGAACAAATAAACAGGTTTATTGATGGTATTCTTATATTAACACCAGTTGTTCATGACATGTAGAACATAAATTCTCAGTCACAGCAAAAACTACTTACTGCTAAAGCCACTCATCACAGCAGCTACTCATCCTAGTGCGACTAGTAAGAATGTACAAAAACTTGGTAAATTATACGTTTTGTGAAATCATCTATAAAAAATACAATAATTGTTGAGTTTTAGCGTGTAAGATGATACTAGATGATACTATCAACTTGTTTTAAAGAGATAATAAAAATATATAACTTTAACTGTTTAATTTTGTTTGATAATGCAAAAATATGGTATGATTTATCATCAAATAAAAAAAAAGATGTTTTGTTTATTTGTTTCTCAGCTGAATTTGAAGACTTCTTATATAAAACCAAGGGTTATGGATGACACAAGTTTCAAACCAAAAAATAAACTAATTTAAGTTTTCCTGATTCATACTGGACCTCACAGCATGTATACATCTCTGCTTTATTGTTTGAACAAATTCATATTTTCACTGCTAAGAGCATGTCTATTTGAGCCATTAATTTCACATGGAAAAATTTGAATGAATTATGAAAACACTTATTTACAAAAATAGTTATCGGTACTGTCAAATTGATTTATAACTGCTGACTGGAATATTATTATACTGTAGCAATTGACAAATATATTTTTTAAGTAGTTTTTCACTTTATTCATGATTCAAAATCACAGAATTATAATATGAAAAATTAAGAAAGATTTTATATCCATTTATGTTTAGTTTGTAATTGAAAATCCGATCTTTACATGAATCATATGTATTACATTGCATTTCATTAAGGTGTGAATTTATTTTATATAAATATAAATTTAAATTATGTTTGAAAACAACTAGACCAATCACAAAGTGTTTGGAATGCCTGGCCATAAATTTACCAATAACTGAAAGAAACTCAGAGATTCATGGGTAATGGCCATTATCAATGAAAGCATCATCTTTAGATTTTAATAATGAAAGATCTTTCAGAATTATTATATAAATATTTTATAAATGTCCATAAAACAAAACTCATACCTTCATGAAATTTAAAATGTTGTGATATTATTGTGAAAAATGGCCTGGAGAATCGCTACGTAAATACGTCGACGGCACCGAATTGTGTGTCATCACTGATTGGCTGTCTTAATGAATTCAGTACATTACCATGGGAAATCACATTCACATACTGACCCATTAGCAAGGCCGTGATTTACCATTTTATTATTCATGATTTTTCAAAGTCTCGTGATAATAGACAGCATCTAATCTAGTCACATCCACATGATTTAAGGCATACATGCAGTATTGGCGTGGACAGCGTTATTGTGAATAAATAATTAACCCAACTAACAGTAGTGCAAAATAACCAAAATAGCAATATTAATAGTTCAAATACAACAGTTTGTAAATTGGTATAAATATAGCTATTTTGTTTTAGTTATATTACAATACTGCTGGATGAGTTGATTTTTAATTCACAGTAAGATTTTGAGCCAATCACAGTTGCATATTTGAATAAAAACTGAAAGCCAGTATTTACAAATATTTATAAATGTATTTATAAACTAAGGTACAGGTTTCTGAGACTCACTGTACTTAAGGTTCATAATTTTACAGTTACATGAGAAGCATGGTATTAGTTTTATGACTTGGTTCACTTTAACCACATGTTATTCAGATTAGTAGTTACTTGTCGCCCAACCAGAATAGGCATCCACGGGTGGTTTTCCACATGCGTTTTCAGTGTGTACGTTTCAAGACGTGGACAACCATTAAGGATGCTGTCCACTGTGTCTTTATCTAGTACACAATAACAGTGAAGCGATCGCAAATTAGGCGAACTCACAGCGAGATTAATCAACGCCCTATTTAAGTCAGCTGATGGTTTACCTTGAACCACAACTTCCTCTAAAGTTGAACTGTAGTACGCAGCTGCCTGGAAAACTTCATTATGCAAAACTGTAAATGTATCAAGTCGTAAAACTTTAATCGGTATGTGTGGTTGCAGGATTGCTTGGATCTTGTGCAATGGGCATGTATGATCAAAAGCTATATACACTTTTAGATTTGGATTTTGCTTTGTCAGCGTTTCCCAAGCACTGTCTGGAATATCTACCCCATATTTCTCTTCTCGCCTGCACATAACAGAAAGTTTTTGCAATGAAGCACGTCCTTCCTCCGCTAGCTCTAAGAGGACTTCCTCAGAAATGCTGCAGTAGAAGAGACCAAGCTCTCTAAGTTTAGTACACTTCTTCACCACACTCAATATGCAATAGGGTTTGACAGTACATGTATTACAGTTCAGCGACGTATTAAGAATGTTTAGCACTTCTAAATTTGGGTGATTATCGGCCAGAAGGTTGAAAAGAATATCACTATAGACAACAGACATTCCACTCAAGTCAACTTCTTTGAGTGTAAATACCATGCTGCAACTTGGGTCAGGAGGTCCAAACAACTCGGCCAAGGCATTGATGAACTCGCCGCCTCTGAAAAACATAGGATTTTGACCTACAAAGTTCAGCGTAATGTTCTGAAGTTTCCTCTCCTTACAGCGAGCAAGTCTCGTAATAACTTCGCAGGCACAGTCACGGTTTTCTTTCTCTTTTTGCTGAAGTTCAATCACCACACTCTTCAGCACATTTTTGTATTTGTCAAGACATCTTAACTTGACCTTGTCTTTCGGTTCCATAAACCTGAACTTGAAATATCGCCATAACCTAGGATGATCAAAACAAGTTTGCCAAGACTTGCACACCAATGCCACTTTCCAACGCTCCACCAATGGAATATAGGAGAAGAATTGGATCAGGATATGATCTGGGAGTCTGCTCCATGAAAAATTCTCCATCCTAATACAGAAGCTTGGGAACTATGTGTAATCCGGAGCTGTCAGTGGCAATACGTCCTGTGAATAATATGAATTTCAGTTTGCAATGTTTACCTTATAAGGGCATAGTTTTCACAATTTGTTTGCATGCATACAGGTATAGATATAGATTCTTTGGCATATTATGAATTATAGGACACGCCCACTTTTGTTGACCCCCACCGGCGTGACAGGTCAACAAACACAGGCAATTCAATTTGTGTTAAGCGAAGTCGAACGACATAAAGGCATGAGGTCGAATTAAGGCCACCAGACTACATTACTGTCATTAATTTACAGTATTAAAAACAACAAATCACCCGACTGAAGCGAGTCGAGAAGGCATCGAAGTGACCGCCGTTGTCTCTTGCTCTTTCTCCTCTGTAGTGCGCACTAAAGTAAAACAAAAAAAGTACTAAATAACGCCTTCTCACTAACCTATGTGATGTAAAATAACGAAAACAAAAAACTTGCACGATCTGAGCATCCATCCATCAAAATCATACGCAATGACTACGCGAAAATTCCTTCCCTATGATGTCACTTCTAGCCATAACAACAGCTGATTGCAACATGAACTTTGACCTGGGCACCCTAACTACGTGTTATAAATTATCAAAGTGACGCACCAACAAAAGGTTTGAAACCATCATGACTGATATGAACTTTTGATAAAAAGAAGCAGCCCAGTTTAAAAAGCAATACAATTAAAGTTTATGAAAAAAATATTGCAAGACCAAGCAAAGTTTCATTAAATAAAAGGAGTGACACGTGAAAAAATACATGGTACTAATATGGTATATAAAAAAATGCGATGTGCGTGATCGTTTGCACCCTCTTGCTCATTCTTCTTCCCCCTTCCTCCATCCATACCCAAGGAAATCTGATTTAACTTTTTTTTGAAAATACATGTTTGACATCTTTTAACAAGTGTTTTATATTTTTATTTTTAATTACACGTTTTCGCAAAGCTTATACTTCTCTTTAAAAAAAAAACTTCTTAGTTAAAAATAAAAATATTGCTGACTTTGTGTTCAGAATGCATGCACGTTTGTCATTTTTTGGACTTTTGAATCAGCATTTTAACAAACTCTATTTTGCGCTCACAAAGCGTGCATGTTTGAAACAATTTTCTTACACGTTGGGCATTTTTAAAAACCGACTTCGCAGTCAAAATGCTTGTACGTTCAGTGTACGTTTGGCATTTTTGATATCGATGTTAGCACAAAATGTCATATGTGCAAGTAATCTGAGCGTGAAGATAAAATCTCAAAAATCCAAACGTCAAGTAAAAATTTTACGGGCAAGACCTCACACGCCTATGGGCAACTTTTTCCGAGTTTCAACTTAAAGGCACGCTGCTTTCAATAATGTACTGGCATTTTTTTTTTTACTTTGTTTGCTACTCTTAATATTTTGAGGTTAATTTTTCCCGACTTTGCAAGCTACTTTAAATAGTTTGTCTTACTGACATATCTGTTCTCAATTTGCACGTTACATACTAGTTTACGAGCAATGGATATATTCTATGATGTTTTCAATACTTTATGGGCAACGTTTCCTCACTACTACTATGCATGGAGAATTATGCACTTTGCAGTGACGTAACTTTACCGACTTTACCCAAATTTATGACACGTATTTTCGGAAAATCTAATAATTACTGATTTAAACACATGTCATGAATTTGTTTTCGCGTATCTGTTAATCGACTTAATTAGCTGATTATTAGCGAATTGCTGTGTTATGTCTGTCATCGTTTAGGCCTATTTGAAGTTTTGGACGGAACTTGGCTCAGTGATTTGGAACTAATTACGAGATAACCGTCGCTATTCGGACTATTAATTCTGACAGTTAGTATTCGTAGTTATTAATGTAGTGAACGATTAATCAATAGGTATGACGTATTCAGTACTTGGTGTGATTGAATGTTTGTTTGAAGGCAATGCCTTGAAGTCTCTTATACTGCTTTGTAATTGGTTAGAGTTTTGAAAATGAATAAAGAGAGTTTGAGTTGGTCTTGGCGAGTACAGCACGACAGACGCAGTCGGGAGTCCAGTCCTAGAGAGCCTTGACGCAGTCCAGTCCTAGAGAGTCTTGGGCGAGTCTTGGGTCAGCCTTGCGATAGTCTTGGGGATTTTTCCCCAGGGCGCTGTGTCTTATAGAGTGCTCGATTGACCGACTAAGACGAGAGCTGAAACGTATTTCGTTGTGTGTGTCTTATTTGACTGTAAAGTTAAAGTGACTTCCCCGATCCCGCACCTCAAGGGGACGCGATATAGAGACGAGACGAGATTCCCCCCTGACAAGTGTGGAGAGCCCCATAGAGGAGAATTTACCCCTGATACACATACCGAATGATAAACAGCTTGAAATGAGGGCGCGCTGCATTTGACCCGGGTGTACTTCAAACATTATTGTCGAATCACTGCGCTCCTGAAACATATTTCACCCCCAATTAAAATTTGATAATTTTTGTCTATTTTTCAAGAGGTTAAACACATTTGTCACGGTCCAGCACTTTTCAGACACGGACAAATACACACGACGACGAACGTTTCACGAAACGACTTCGCACGTAGTTTTAAGGGCTTTACGAGTTTACTTTCTCGACTTTGAACACAACTTTACGGATTTTGTAGTCACTTTGTGTGTAGTGTAAACAATGCGGGTTTCGTCTATCAGGGGTTGTTATGGGTGGATGGTTCGTCAGGTTGAATATACGGGAAGTGGTTGTAACGGGGAATGGTAACTCGCAAGGCAGTGAGTGGTACACTAGGATCGCTCGACACTTATACGCACCATTCAGTCATAAGACACCAGTAATATAGTATAGCCGGATATTTATTACAACTACAATCGTCGCCATACGCCC